TTTGAATTCGTTTACTAACACTTTCAAATTTGACTATTTGTTGGTGTGTATATATGTGTGTCTTTATTAATGTATGTGTGTACGATCACCTTTCATTTTATGTATATGTTGTCTGTTTTTTTTTTTTTTTTTTAGGGGTCGTGGAAACAGGAAATAGATGTGTATTTCCTGTTTCGTTCGTGTTTTTGCGTGTTAATATATCTAAATATGTCTACGTGTTTGTGTATTATAATCTGATGGTGCATTTATTGTCTTTTAGTCTTCTGCCTACATCACCACTTGCAATGTATCTAAGCTGGAACGAAGCTTTGCATCAATATTAGATTTTAACGTTTATTCTGAGTTTTTGGCCTTTCAATTAAAAAAAAAAAAACAATATATGTATTTTTCCCCAGTCTCTTCTTTAAATAATTTTATAATATTTTAAACTTAATACAGATTAAATTTAAAATTTAAAATTGGTAATTTTTTATTCAATATTAATTAGTTAGAATAATTTCTATATTAGTCTAAGCCTAACATTAAGGCATTAATTATTATAACCAAGGTTCGTTGTCAAGTTTTTGATTTCACATATACTTGTATTTTGCTTGGTCATTGCAGCTTATGCAGCGTTTCCCCGATCGAGGGGTGTTTGGTCGATTTGAACCTTCTAAAACTCTTTATTGTACATTCAACACTATCACTTGATAAGTCACCGGAAACTATTTTTGTAGTGATTTTATAACATATTTGTTATAATTTTAGAATAAATTATATATATATATATATAATGGCTGTCATCTCACAAATCGAGTATGACCATCACTGACATGTCCAGTACATCAGTTAAACTCCCACCACAACACTGCATTCATTCGTTGCGGGAACGACAGTGGCTCAGAAAGCCAGCCATCGATAAATTGCATGTCAAATCCTCTCCAAGAAACCCGGTCTTCAGCTAGAATCCCCTGTTATCTAGACTAATATTGCACTTGTATAGTGGCTTTTAAGGTAATCTTTGTAACGAAGTTTTGGCTTGTGCTGCGGTCTTTTTTCCCATTTCCAATTCTCCATACATTAACTGTTTTCGCATTCTGTCATCTGCCATACGAATAGCGTGGCCTGTCCATCGCAATCTGTATTTGTGTATAATTGCTTTCACAGAGAGTGAATTGTCCCTTTGTAGAACAACAGTATCAGGGGTGAGACATCCAGTGTATTTCAAGCACAGACCGATGACATCGTTGATGAAAACGTTCCAGTATCTTCTGCGATAGACTACCCATGTCTCACACAAATATAGGAGATATGACATAACGCAGGCATTTTAATTTTATTAATTATTTTAATTTTTGTCTGCTTTTTTATGCCCTTCTGACTCCAGACACGGAGCTTGAATGCTGCAAATGCATCGGAAGGCTTCTTAATCCGTAACGTTATCTCATCGTCAAGAGAGCAGTGCCAGTTGAGGGTGCTATCAAGGTATACAGATTTGTCTACTACCCCAAGTCGACTAACATCAACATAAATTGATGGCTCTATACACTGAATTCCTCGGGCAGGTTGATACATTACCATTGTCTTATCAAGGCTGATGAACAATCCCAAAGCCTTACATGACCCTGATAGTCAATCCATGAACTCTTGTGCGTGCTGAATTAGTGTGCGCGACCAGGTCACAGTCATCGGCATAGAGAAGGTTGCGCACTAAACTAAAAAAGACTTTTGTTTTTGCTGCAAGCCTCCGTATGTTGAAAAGCTTGCCAGTTGACCTGTATCTTATCATGGCAGTCCCCGAACGCATCAAGCAGTACAATTTCAAAGTAGATAGAAAACAGTGTAGGAGCCAGAAGATCTCCCTGCTTAACTCCATTTTCAACCTTGATGGGCCCCATAAGCAAACCGTCAAAACTGACGCAGGTTTCCATACCGTCATGGAAGGACCTCAGAATCTTGAAAAAGTGTGAGGACAGCCCAATTTTGATAGGATTATTCAAAGAGCAGCACGATTAAAAGTGTTAAAAGCCTTCCTCAGATCTACAAATATTTGATAACGGCCCAATTGTTGTTCACAGCTCTTTTCCTGGATTTGTCGTGTTATGAAAATCATATCTGCGGTCCCTCTGTGTTGGCGGAAACCACACTGTGATTCAGGCAGTATATTGTCAACTATTTTCTGGTTTAATCTTAATATGAGGACAGAGACTAAGATCATAACTGCTAAAGAAAGGATATCAATCTCTCTATAATTACCACATAATTCCCGGGCACCTTTAACATTATATATAGGTATCATTGTTGCACTTCTCCATCTTTCCAAATCTTTACAATAAGATCATGCATAAGTTGACTTAAATGTGTTCCACCGTCAACACCAACAGCTCTGCCCATGCCACGCAGAACCTCGCCGAGCGATGGTTGGCTGTCAAATTCTACTACTACGGGTCTTTAGGGTATTTTCTCGAGAACCTCAGGGTCTGCATTCGAAGGCCTATTTAGTAGCACATCAAAGTATTTCTTCCATCTTTGGCCATGCCATACATGTCTGAGGAGATTATTGCCGTCTTGAGAGTAGCAATAATAATAAATTTAATAATAATAATAATAATAATAAAATGTCTTATAATTTATAATAATTTTATACTTTAGTATATATGGTAATATATTGGTACATTGATTTGTTTACTCCGACATCCAATGTAAAATATATATGTTTTATGTGTGTAGGAGCAGTGGGTAGAAGTAGTACCTTTGTTGCTCGGCTTTTTAATCCATTTTTAAGGTGGACGGTCAACATTGCTCTTCATCCATCTCCTAAATCTCCAAGCGCCATAAGCTGTAAACGGCTTCAGCGGGCGGGCTAAATCACATGGGTAATGTTTGCACGGCATTGCTAGGTGGATGATCTGCACAAGTGGACACACACACACACACACACACACACACACACACACACACACACACACACATATATATAATAGTGAGGAGGGAGGCTAGAATCCCTGCAGGACAAATACAAGACCTGTCAAAGGGCGAATGAACCTCTTTGAGAGGTCATCTAGCTATTGTTGTTGTTGTTTTTGTTGCGGTTGCTTAAAATTATTTTAAATATAAATAATAAAACAAATTGTCTAGTAGTAAAAAAACAAACAAAACAACATTATAACTGGGAACGCTTTTCAACAAAATTGAAAATACGTTACTTTAATAAATAATGTATTGTAAATTAATAAGAAATGTAAATGAATAAAATTTATACAAAATGTTATTAAAAGAATCTTTGAATATAAATAATAATAAAGAAAGAAATCGGCAATAATGAACCAATAGTCAAAGTAAAAATAAATAAAATAAACATTACAACTCTACTACTTTCATCATTTTTCGAAAATTACGACCACTTTTGTTTAGAAAAAAACCCCAGAGAAATGTTGCGCTTAAATATAAATAAACAAGAATTATTCATACCACTATATAATTAATTTAATAAATACAATGCATTAAATGGTCTTACAGATCTTAGTAAGATATTCTTACACTTAATTGTTTAAGTGTAAGAATATCTAATCTTATTTAAAAATAAGAAAATTTGTTGTATACCACGACTTAAAGATAAACAAATAAGTCGAAAATATTATAAAATGTGAATATTAGATATTGTGTGAATGCATAATAACATAACAAATAATATAATAAGCAAAGAAAAATATAAAAATAATGAATGATTAATTTAAAACACTTTCCTTTCGCTTTCTTTGAGCAATGAAAGAAAAACAGGTCCGTTTACTCTGACATCATATATATAGTTATCCAAAATGACGTTTACTTTGATATAACATCACATGCACACAGGTTCGGTGCATACTGAAATTTTTAACTTTTAAATTTAATTTAAAAAAAAATATGTGTTTGGGTATATAATTAGACCTATTTCATTTATCTTCTTTTTCTTTTTGTTGATGTTTTTTTTTTATCACTTTTGTTATTAAGTATCCTACATTGCGATAATGGAATTTCTGCAAGAAACGAAGGGTATTTTTTGTAATTTATTTGTTGTTTTTTTGTTTTGAATCCATTTTTTACAAATATATATATTTGTAAGTGAACTGCTCTATTATCTTAACAGTAGGTTAATAATATTAATACTTAAAGTTTCCAACGATCAGTTTTCACTTTGTCATTTATATATATATATATATATATATATATATACTAGCAGTAAAGACCGGCGTTGCTCGGGGTTTTCTGTAGTTAAATTGCTTTGGGGTTTGAATAATTGAACTTAAGCACGTATCCGCAGTTGTTGAGGTCACTGATAGGCCTGGAATCTCACTGGTAGCAAAATCAATAAGATCAAGGGCAACCGGTTGCAATAGGTGGTTGCTGTGTTGCTGCTCGTGCTTGCCCGAACACTGCCACCCGTTCATAATCGTTCAAGATTTTTAATTCTGGTAATGTAAAATAGTGGTTGCGTTTTCACTGTAGGACTCGCCTCTTCACTATTAAGTCCATAGGTAAGGTCATGTCATGACTGAGTGTAATCCTGTCCGGGTAGGAGTTCAACATTTGGGGTTGCAGGTAAACGTTATAAATAAGTCTAGCCGCCCATATTGCCTAACGTATGTCATAGCGTCCTGCGTGCGTTCATGCATGTAACGCGGCCACCCAGTGTAGGTAGAGGGCAGAATGCACAGATTCCCTAGGTCGCGGGGATTGACTTCATTTCGAAGGCTGTCGCGTACCTAGGAGTCTGAGCGCAGCTGTTTCTGATAATTCCGTATAAAAGCCTCTCTGATTCCGTCTTAGCGGCCATGTCAACCGCAAACTGGTGGAAAAGCTCACTGCATCTATGAAGCAGATTGAAGTCTCCATCCTTAACCATGAAACGGTATGAGTAGAAGGCCTTGCACAATAAGGCTTTGGAAGACGTTGTAGGTTGGCCACCCGTAGCATGAAGGGGAATGCCAAAGTGGTAGCCATAGTCACCATAAGGGAAAAGTAAAGGGTACTGCAATGCGTCATATGATCGATGGGTCTCTGAAATCCTGCGAAGAGCGCCGCCTTTTGATTTGAGGACAATATCCATGTATAATAGCGGTCACTTCGTTGCACGCGGGAGCATTGTAGCGGCGTTTGTGTTCATCATGAGGCCATTTGTCGGCGTCAATTACAATGCTGAAGGAAGGAAAGGGAGCATTTTCCAAAGCAGATTTGAAACTGCGAATGTAGCTGTGAACCTGGCATGGCCTGAAGTAGTAATATGACGTCCCTGCGAGGAACTCTTCCCGACGGCGGCAAAATACCAATCCGGGTTTCGGCCTATACGTTGTAGTCTGCAATAAAGTATAGTTGAAGGAATTTAGACATAGAGGTCTCCCCAGGCAGCAGAGACCCAATGCGGTTGTTTACCTTACCCTGTACTTTGAAAGTGGGCATTCAACCCTCTTCACGAACCACCTGAGGTCATTTAAAAGGAGTTGTTGTATTGCCTAATTGTTTTAAGGAAGTAGTTGGAGTTGGGATAGGAGCCGGCTTATTAGTCCCCTCAACAGGGTAGGTGTTTCATGCAGAGGTGGCAGTCGAACTTTGCCGGAGGAGCAGCACAGACCGACAGGATCCGGCCCATTTGCAGAATTGGCAAACGCAGGTCATGGTTGATGTCATCACGCGTAGTAAAGTTAATGCCAGGGTCGTAATTGAAAACCAAGAAAGACCAAAAAGAGCTACTGGGACAGGTAACACCACGGGAGGCCGCAAGGCGCTGAATGTCGCCGTCGATGCGTATGCGGGGAGCTTGGGGGTATTTGAGATAAGCTCAAAGCGGCTATGTTTGTAGCAACCCTTCAAAGTCCGTTTGCCCTTGTCTATGGGCCCTTGGAGTTTTTGGCAGGAGAAGTCGCTGCAGCGTTGCGGGCATTTCGGGTTGCCCGCTGCAGTTCTGTCTCGGTCTCCCTGTTGCAGCAGTGTCCCTGGATTGACAGGCGCGCCTGCGGTCAAATGTTTCAGCTGCCCTCGGTGGTGGCAGCATTCGTAGCATTTCGAACTGACCTCAGCAGTCTCAGCAGCCCCAGCGGTCGCTATTGCAGCGTACGGGCAGGTGTCTCTACTGCCCTCGACCTGGCAGTGGTGGCAGCATTCGTAGCATTTCGCACAAACCTACTGAGCGGTGTCTCAGCAGCCCTAGCGCCCTCGGTTTTGCAGTGACAGCAGCGTTTCTTACGTTACGAAGAAGCTTTTGATGATGAGTTTCGGAAGCCCGAGATGCAGAGGCGGTTGCTGCAGCCTGTGCGTTAATTCTCGACCGTTGTGCATTCTTGAAACTTGATTGCAACGAAGCTCTGTAGGCAGCTTTCCCGACCAAGCAGATGGCACGCTCTTCTTGTGACTGCGAGGCCTGCGTGAGGGTGCTGCGTTGAGTGACCTGTGATAGTTGCATTCTAATCTTCTCCTGGGACTCGCCGGCCCTTCTTGCCTTCTTGCAGACCGAATAAGTCGTACCCTCCTTTTTGGCGGCATGGGGAAAAGTGATGCTAGTAGTGGTTGATTAGGGTTGCTCAATTGCAGGAGTACAAAGTCTAACTTAATATCGCAAAACGTGAGCCAGAATCGGGAAGGCAGATATTTAAATAAAACAGCTGAATAAATTGTTTATGGTAGTTGAAAAAAAGGTAGTTAAACAGACAAACGGAAAACGTAAGAAACAACTTGCGGTAGGAGAAATGATCTGTTGAAGGAGCCTATCGTATCAACCGGATGGCGGCGTAACAGGAGCAGAAGTGAGACCTTCGTCCCACAGCTGTGCACAGCAGGTTCAAATGCGAAGTAATACTGGCCAATAGGTTGTGCCAATCAGCGAGCGTCCTAGGGTCTCGAACACCAATCAGCGACCGCGTACTGCACTCAGTCAATGAGATACCGTTATGTGAAGCATGGTCACGCGTGTGTGAATAACAATCAGCTGTAGAGTCTGTAGTGTAGACGCCTAAGTTGAACATACGTTTCATTGGTGTATTCGCAAATTCCGATGAAGGCATGACTGTATCGACTTCCCTCAGGTATTCGTTGGACAAAAAGGAGCTCACAGGGCAAAAGTTTTTAATTGTCACGACTAAAGCCGATAAAGTTAATCAAAATCCCAAGCAAGTTGCGAAAAACATTGCCAAATTCAGGTAAACTCGATTCGAATGGGAAGTCAAAAGGGGTATGATTTCATCGATTTTTATCCGATAATTGAAACCGATATGGAAAACGAAACTCAGCACCTCAATACTGTCGGTAAATACTATGCTCATCGGGAATTTTGCTGAAAATTCTTCGCTATTTGCGAAAAATATAGCCAAAAATCAGCTAGACTGGACTTGAATCGGATGTCCCAAAGTGATCGATTGTATCGATTATTTCCAGTAATTGATATCGATATTGAAAATGAATGTCAGCACCTCATAACTGTTGATAAAAACAATGCTTAACGTAATTTTGGTGGAAATTCTTCGCCATTTGCGAAAAATATTAGCCAAAAATCAGTTGACTGGATTTGAATTGGAAGTCAAAAGTGGCATGATGTTATCGATTTTTTTCCGATAATTGATACCTATATTGAAGAAAAGGGTCAGAAAATAATAAGTGTTGATAAAACTAATGCTCAACATGATTTTCGTGAAAATTCCTTGCAGTTTACGAAAAACAGAGCCCCCAAAAGCCCACTGAATTTGAATCGGATGTCCCAAAGTGATCGATTTTATCGATTTTTTCCGATAACTGATATCAATTTTTAAAAACAAAAAACATCACCTCAAAACTATATGTAAGGACATTGCTCAACGTGCGTTTGGTGGATATCACTTGTAATTTGTGAAATCTATCACTGAAAAACTGATGAATTTTTTGCGAATCAATATTCGACCCCTTATCGGTTTTATCGATTTTTTCCAAAATCGGAGGAACAATCGAAAAGTCCGAAGACGGCGAGTACGAAAGCCGAAAAGTTCTGATCTGTGTGTGAATTTTCATGCTAATCGGACGAACGGTTTGCTCAGGATGAGGTAACAAGATGACAAACACACAGACACACTAACAGAAAGCCATTTACATATATATATATATATATATATATATATATATATATATATATATATATGTATAAAAAACACATGAACACGGCTACAAAGGTACTGGCCATATTTGAAAAAGGCATATACATATAGAAAAGTCTAAATATTCAGTAATAAATAATTTATAATGGCTATTGTATGAAAAAAAATTGAACAATAAACTTAAACTTTCTATTCATTTTGTCATGTTTACAAAACTTGTACACACACACTCACACACACGCACATGCACACACACACACACACACACACACACACACACACACACACACACACACACACACACACGATAATAAACTGCGTCAGCATGAACGGAAAAAAATCTTTGCCAGATTTCTAAAAACAAATTCAATTACAAAATATTCCGTTCTCTCAATTTCAGACAGACGCCAGAGAAAAGTAATCGCATGCATGATTTGAAAGCTCAGTAAACAAATTCTGATTCTACTTCAGGTACGGATATATTTTTCCTTTTTTTCCAAGTTAGTCGTCATGAAATTCAATAATGGTGGTTGTCTCTATGTGCTTGGAAATTTGTCCCGGCTTTCCCGCATCAAAGAGTTGAGGTTAAAAAATTGCGACAAAACGGACGAATAAAGAAAACTCCTGCTCGGTGTGTAACAATAAAAGAAGAAAGTGTTTATTTACATATACAGAAAAAAAAGGGTAAAGGTACAAAGAAAATTAGGAGAGTAAGAAAGAAATGTCCTTAATGGAAGAGAAAGTGTTCATAACAGAAAAAAGGCTTGCTCAAAATATTCCTTAGAGCGAGTAGAATGTTTTAATGGTTAGAAACTCAGTTTTTTTCACAGTTAGAGGAGGAAAATGTTAGTAGATATAGAAATTCTGCAGTTGAGTGAGTTTGTAGGTCGACGAGAAAGTATTGTAGGTGAAAAGAAGGCAGCTTTCAACTGGTCTTTAATTGTGGGCCGCCGTTCGTTCTTGACAATTGGTAATTCTTCTTTGTTGAAAGTTATTCCGAAGTTGACTGGTGCTATCTATCGCCGATCTTACAGGCGATGGGCCGAATTCTCACTGCCAAATAGGCGAACTTCCAAATATATAATTTGGGAAGCTCAGAAGGATCGGGACTTTTCACTCCAAAATCGTTATACAAATTTCCTGGCCTCTTCATTGGTCAGAAAATATATTCTTATCTCTGACAAGAATCGATGCTTTGGGAGCCGGTTTTGAAAGTAACGAAAATGGTTGGAGTGAACAAGCTGTGTGGTTTCCCTCAGACTTTATGGCACCATGGTGGAATTCCTTTTATATTTTCCAGCTCTCTCATTAGTCAGAAAATATATTCTTATCTCTGATAAGAGTAAAGGCTTTGGGAGCCGGTTTTGGAAGTAAAAAAAAAGGTGAGGATTGGAAAAATAGGCTAGAATGTGAGCTTTTAAAATATTGTACGAAAAAGAAAGGAAGAGAGAGAAGACCTCAAAAGAGGTACTTATACGAAAAGAGAAAGAAGAAAAAGACCTCAAGGGAAATCCAAGACCAGACGAAAAGAAAAGAGAGAAAAAAGACCTCAAAAAGAGACACTTATACGAAAAGAAAGAAAGGAGAAAAGGCCTAAAAAAAACACGCTCGTGTAAAAAAAAAAAAAGGAGAAAAGAAATTTAAAAAAGAAAAAGGAAAGAAGAATTGCATATAAGGGAAAGAAGAACTTTTATAACGACCAGATAAATTCATTGTTTCTTTTATGTTTTCATTTTGCTTAATGTATCTTTTCATGTTTGTTCTTTCATGCAAGCCTGGCATGAGATCTTTTGTAATTACATGTTTCCCGGCTTGTTTTACCTTTCCATGTTTTGTAAATTCGTGCAAGTATGGCACAAGATCATATGGTGATCTGTAATTTACCTTTCTGAGTGTATAAGTTCCCCTCCCACTATTCTGTCCACAATGTTTATTTTTTACTTATTTTTTTTGTTTATTGGTTTGTTTGTTTTTTTGTGTTTTTTTTTCCCGTCTTTCATTTTCTCTCTGTTTGTATGTCTTGATAATAAATTTATTATTGTTGTCTCTATGTCCGGCTTACCGTTGTTTGTCGCTGTTATATTTCGTTCTAATAGGAATATATATTTGAGGAACAAGCTGGATAAAGTAAGTAAATGTTTATGGTATACAACCAGTATAATAAGAATAAAGGTAACAGTTATGCACAAGGTCGTCGCATTTCAATCCAGTAGTGAGTGATTGGAAGGGCGGTAGTTCTCGTTTAAGTCTGAGTCGTACTCAACAGATCCCAGGTAGTAATATAGCCTCGTCCGGGTTCCTCTCTGTCTAAAGGCAGTTCGACAAAAGCTAAGAGCTAAATAACAGATCCCAGCTAGTAATATTTACCAAGCTCCCTACGGTGTAGAATGTGGCAGAAGGTCGAATTTAATGTTGGGTAATCCAGTGCCGTAAGCTCGGCCAAGAATCCCTGTAAACCCCGCATAAACGGGTTCGGGTAGTTGTTTCCCGATACGAGATACTGTCCTTTGACATAGCCTTGTCTGGGGATCCTCTCTGCTCGGAGACAGAGAGTTCGATCAACACGGCTGGAAAAGATTCCAGCTAGTGTATCTAGCAAATGATCCACGCAGTCCACATGTGGCACAAGGCCGAATTTAATGTGAGCTTCCTGAGCCCGTACGCTCGGCCAAAATTCTCCGTAGACCCCGCATAAAGGGGATAAAATCGGTCTACCTTCCCGAACGAGACTCTGCCCTTCGGCATAGCCTCGTCCGGGTTCCTCTGTCTGAAGCCAGAGAGTTCGATCAACACAGCTGAAATAGATTCCAGCTAGTCTCTATAGTCCGTTGATTTACAGATACTTATAGGTAGTTACTACCTATAGTGTAGTCACTCATGGGTGTGTTAGGTTATTCCGTTACATCAGTTGCCTATCATGTTTGTTCCTTAATCGGTTCCGCTCAGCCGTGTCTGATCAATCGGAAAGAAGCCCTTGGGAAAAGAAAATTGTTATAAGTATTGTATACATAATACAGGTTGCGATCCTCCTCTATCGATCTGGTTAGATAGTGGGGAGAGTAGTAACAATATATATATATATATATATATATATATATATATATATATATATATATATATATATATATATATAAACATTGTCCGGAAACAATTATTTGTACTCATACAAATTTTTTAATGAATAAACATACTTTTCATATAATTTCTCACGTCGTTGGTCACCAATTTTGTTGCGGATTTCACTAATACATGATTTAGTGAGTGAATTGATTTTCGAGAGAGACTGGCTCAAGATGAATGGGGAATTGATTTCACTTGAGCCCCCTACCTGAAGTTGGGAGAAGAAGAGGATGACAGAAAGGAAAGTATGATCAGAACACGAGAGAAAATTGCTACCTCATACAGCGATAACGAACGAGCGCCGTTAGACATGAATTTCCTAGTGAGAAATGTGGAAATTGTACCAGATCTCACCTTCGGATAATTTTCATCCTGGAAGTCACTGTTGGAAGCCTTGGTAGAGGAGTATGAAGCGGGTAACTTTCTAGTGATGATATATATATTATGCATATTTTAACTTTTTGTATAATAATACTAAAATTAACTATATTTTTGAGATTTTTATGTAGAAATTTGAAAAACAATTTTTTATTCAGAATTTGAATTTTTTATAGGTGTTTTTTATACTTCTATATATTTTATGAATATCTTTACATTTTCATATAGAAATATGAAAAACAGCAATATTTTTAGCATATTTTAAGTTGATTTAGATAAAATATGATCATTTTTATGTGTAAGTATGAAAATCAGTTATACTTTACACAGATTTTGAATTTTTATATAGAAATATGAAAATCGGCACGATCTTATTCAAATTTTGACATTTTTATATGGAAATATTAAAATCAGCTATATTTTATTAAGATTTTAACTTTTTTCTTATTGATATGGAAATCAGCTACATTTTATTCAGATTTTTTATATATAGAAATATTAAATTAGCTATATTTTATACAACCTTTGACTTCCATATTGAAATATGAAAATCAGCTACATTTAGTCAGATTCCTTTATATTTGTATAGAAATATGAGAAAATATTTTATGCATATTTTGATTTTTTTATATAGAAATATGAAAATCAGCCATATTTCATATTTTTACATTTTTACATTTTATTTATATATATTTATATATATATATATATATATATATATATATATATATATATATATATATATATGAAAATCACCTATAAATAATACAGATTTTAATTCTCTACGGGACATTGGACGATATATCAATCATGGTAAATCAAAATGCATGTATGTGTATTTGTATATATGCTTAAATAATGAATAGAACTTCTTCCCTAAGCTGTCATTTCTCGTGACGAAAGAAAATGAGTGACTTTTTAAAAAGTTGTTTACTTCAAGTCGAATGTTGGTAATGTATTTCCCCAGCATTTGAATTAAAGGTAAATCCTCTTCTCCTTATGAAAATAACTTAAAAGTAAAAACATTTTTTAGCCTTTTCTGAAAATGGTGTAAATCTTCATATAATTCTTCAGAATGAGTTGAAGTAAAAGATTTGTTTTTGTGTTTATCGATGCGTTTTCTGTGTCGACGGGATATTACAGTTTTTAAAATTAAGATACAAAAGTCCGACAAGGTTTTTAAATTATGAACATTGAAAACTCATGTTTTTCTTCTTTAGTCACGAGATTTGAATCACATTTCGATGTTTTTATATAGAAATAATAAACTCAGCTATATTTTAAACCTATTTTGAGTTTTTAATATAGAAATGTAAAAAAAAAAATCTTATATTTTGATCATTATATAGAAATATAAAAAATAAAAATATTTTATATTTTGAAATTATGTCTAGAAATATGAAAAAGATGCTTATTTTGATTTTTTATAGAAATGTAAAAATCTGCTGTTTTTAGCATATTTTAACTATTTATATAGAAATATGAAAAATAGCATTGTTTTATTCAAGTTTAAACATATATAGAAATATGAAAAGCGACTATATTTTATGCATATTTTGTCTTTTCTGTATAGACATAAAAACTAGCGTATTTATATGTATATTTTGAATCTTTATATAAAAATATTAAAGTCAAATATGTTTTATGAATATTTTGTTTTAATATGGAAATGTGAAAAACAGAATTAATTTATACACATTTTTGCATTAAGAAATATAAAAATGTTATAATTTTTCATGAGTAATCACTTTTCATTAAGAAATATCAAAAAGGTATATTTTACACAGATTTAGTTTTTTTCTTCATGAAAACATGCAAAAGGTCTTATTTTTGGATTTAGTATTTTTCGTTAGGAAATAACAAAAACAAATATATTTACATCAGAAATATAAAAAGATTCAGGCTTTTTCATTTTCTTAATGAAAACGAATAAATCTAATGAAAATGTAACTAGTTTGTATGAAACATTATCCAGATCATTAAGAAATATCAAAATGTTATATTTTATTTAAATTAGTATTTTTCATTCAGAAATAAAAAGATACATTTTTCATTAAGAAATATAAAAAAATTAAATTTAATCCAGGTTAAGTCTTTTTTCATTAGAAATATAATAAATATTACATTTTTTACAGATTTAGTTTTTTCATTAAGAAATATAAGAACACTTACATTTACTTCAGGTTTTTCTTCATTAAGAAATGTCCAAAAAGGTACTTTTTGGATCAAATTAATCTTTTTCATTTTCTTAATCAAAATGCCTAAATCTGTAAAAAAAAATATACCTTTTTTATCAAAAATATTACATCTTGTACAGATTTAGTCTTTTTCATTTCAGATTCAGTATTTTTCATTTTCAGAAATAACAAAAACAAATACATTTTCGTCAAAGAGTGTCTTTTTAATTAAGAAATATAAAAATTACATATACTTCAGGTTGATTTTGTTTATTAAGAATTTTGATAAAATTTATTTTTTGTTTGAATTTATTCCTTGTCATTAAGAAATATCTAAAATAAGATACATTTAGTATTTTGTCTGTTTCATTAAGAAATATAAACAAAGTTACATTTTCAACATATTTACTCTTTTTCTTTAAAAATAGAAAAAAGTTGATGTTTTTCAGATTTATTCTTTTTCATGAGGAAATATAAAAAAGGTATATTTTTCAGGTTTAATATTTGTTCATTATTGTGCACAGATTTAGTCTTTTTCATTAAAGAATATACACTTTTTCAGATTTAGTATTTTTCATTAAGAAATAAGAAAAACATACATTTTCTTCAGATAGACTCTTTTTCATTAATATAAAAATGTTACATTAAAAATATAATAAATGTTACATTTTGTAAAGATATTTACTAAAGCTTTAGTCTGTCTTCATTAAGAAATAACAAACACAAGTATATTTTCATCAGATAAAATCTTCTTTAAGAAATATAAAAAAGTTATGCTTTTGTCAGATTTCACCTGTTTCATTCAGAAATATGAAAAAAGTTACATTTTCATTAGATTTAGATTTCTTTTAGAAATAACAGCAACAGTTACATTTTCTTCGATTTAGTTATACATTAAGAAATATAAAAAAGGTTTTATCAAGTTTAATCTTTTTTCATTAAGAAATTTCCAAAAATTTACATTTTGTACATATTTAGTCTTTTTCATTAAGATGTATAAAAGCAATTACATTTTATACAGATATAGTATTTTTCATTAAGAAATACAGAAAATGTGACATTTGGTACAGATTTAGTCAGTTTGATAAAGTTACATTTTCTTTCATATTTTCTTTTCTTCATTAGGAAATACCAAAAAGTTATATTTTTTCAGGTTTAATCTTTTTTTTTCCATTTAAATGTCAAAAAAGGTACAGTTTATACAAATTTAGTCCTTTTCATTAAGAAATATCAACAAAAGTAATCTTTTTTTTTCAGATTTACACTTTTCTTTAATAGAAAAACCGGATATATTTCATTCATTAAGAAATGTCAAAAAATATACATTTTGTATAGATTTTGCCAGTTTCATTATGAAGTATCAAAAAGTTACATGTTGTATACATATAATCATTTTCATTCAGAAATAAAAAGAAATATTTTCGTTAGATTTAGTCTTTGTCATTAAATAAATCAACAAAAGATTCTTCATATTTAGTCATTTTCATTGAAATATCAAGGAAAGTATTATTTTTCAAGTTTAATTTTTTCATGAAGAAATTTAAAAAGGTGCATTTTGTATATATTTAGTGTTTCTCATAAAGAAATATCAAATAAGTCATAGTTTGTTAATATTTAGTGTTAGTCATTAAGAAAGAATGAAAATCAGATACATTTTCATTAATAAAAAATACATTTACTTCTTCTTTAGTCTTTTTTTAATACTTTATTCAGATTTAATATTTTTCATTAAAAATCAACAAAAGTGACTTTTCTTCAGATTTAGTGTTTTTCAGCTATACTTTGTATACTTTTATATATAGTCTCTTTGCATGGGATTGACCTACAAACCAAGACATCTCGTATACGCAACCTGGGAGTGGTGCTATAGTTATTTATTAATGAAAAAGTATAAATGCGTACAAAATGTAACATTTATTCTATTACTTAAAAGAAAATAAACATTAATTGTAACTTTTTTTTTATATTTCTTAACGAAAAGTCTTTATATGGTATAAATGTATCTGTTTTTCTTATTTCCAACAGAAAATACTAAATCTGAACAAAATATTAATTTTTTGTTATTTCTTAATGACTAAATCTGTACAAACTGTGCATTTTCTTAATGAAAAAAGTTTAAACCTGAAAAAATATAATACTTTAAAAGTTTTTTGCAATTTTTTATCATTTCTTAATGAAAAAAGACTGTTTTTATTTCTTAATGGAAAATACTAAATCTCAAGGAATATAACATTTTGATATTTTTAATGAAAAAGTCTATATCTGTATAAAAATGTAAAATTTTTCGATACTTTATAATCACTAAATTATACTTTATAACGACTAAATATTTACAAAATGAAACTTATTAAAATTACTTCGTGAAAAAAGATTAAACCTGAAAATATAACTTTTGTTGATATTTTCAAATAAAAAGGGTAAATCTGATGAAAATGTAACTTTTCATATTTCTGAATGACAGAAAAAAAATCTATACCAATTTTACATAATTCTTAAAAAAGACTAAAACTGTACAGTATGTAACATTTACTATTTTTCTTCATGAAAAAAGGCTAAACCAAAAGTAAATCTATATTTTTTCTCTTAATGAAAAGAACTTCATTTGATGTAACTGGTTTTTCAAATTCTTAATGGAAATTACGTAATCTTAACAAATTTTAATGAAAAAGACTCAATCTGAAAAAATGTAATTTTTATCGATATTTCATGATGAAAACACTAAAACTGCTTAAATATATTTTTATATTTGTTAATGAA